CTGCAGGACAGGTATGGACATGTCAAAACTTTCACAGATGACTTCAAATTTACCGTCATGATGTTCTAAGTGCCTTACCCCATGTCTAAGTGCCTTACCCCATGTCTAAGTGCCTTACCTCATGTCTAAGTGCCTTACCTCATGTCTAAGTGCCTTACCCCATGTCTAAGTGCCTTACCTCATGTCTAAGTGCCTTATCCCATGTCTAAGTGCCTTACCCCATGTCTAAGTGCCTTACCCCATGTCTAAGTGCCTTACCCCATGTCTAAGTGCCTTACCCCATGTCTAAGTGCCTTACCCCATATCTAAGTGCCTTACCCCATGTCTAAGTGCCTTACCCCATGTCTAAGTGCCTTACCCCATGTCTAATTGCCTTACCCCATGTCTAAGTGCCTTACCCCATGTCTAAGTGCCTTACCCCATGTCTAAGTGCCTTACCCCATGTCTAAGTGCCTTACCCCATGTCTAAGTGCCTTACCCCATGTCTAAGTGCCTTACCCCATGTCTAAGTGCCTCCGGCGCCGTCCACTTGACTGGAACTTTGCCTCCCTCTAACTTATCGAAGTTCATCTCCCTGGCCAGCCCGAAATCCGACACCTTCGCGGTCCCTTCCTCCGACAGAAGGACGTTTCTGGCGGCAAGGTCGCGGTGAACCAGGTTCTTGGACTCTAGGTATGCCATGCCGTTACAGATGTTACTGTGAACATAGTTTCAGCAGGTTGGTAAAGTATAGACTAGTAAAGCATAGGGATTTTCTTATACACAATCAGTATTGTCTCACCTTGCTGATGTTTTGGCGTCTGTCAGACACCTTTTTCAGAGCTTCTGACTGGAGTTCTGCTTCTTGCAGCAAAAGCGCCACCTACATCAGCTACATGTAGCGGCGAGAAGCAGAACTCCAGTCAAAAGCTCTGAGGAAGGTGTCTCATAGACACTGAAATGTCAGCAAGGTGAGACAATACTAGTTGTGTAAAAGAAAATTCCTATATCAGAATGTCACTGTGGTGTACCATTCCCGTCAAGACATCATGGACGACAATTTATAGATAGCAAAACACTCACAACATGGCAAGAAACAATTTTTTTCCCTCTCATACTTTCCTACACTTCTTTAACATTACACTGACAGCCCTATTCAATCAATTATAGAACTTGAAAACACAACAAAGATATTTCTACAGAAGTGTGGAAACAGACGTACCATGAGAACTGCAGGTTGTCTGATGCTGTGATGACGGATCTGCCTCTGGAGCGAAGATAGTCCACTAGTGATCCCTGGGAACAACAAACAGGTCAAGGGCAGGTCAAGGTCGGTCATCATACTGGCTGTTATAAAACCTACTGGCATTCAGGAATTATATAATGACTATAAGGTCAACAAAAACTGAAACTGTCCTTTATGAATTAAAGACTTGCAGAGTACCTTTGCCATGAGCTCCGTGGTGAGACCCTACCTTTGCCATGAGCTCTGTGGTGAGACCCTACCTTTGCCATGAACTCCGTGGTGAGACCCTACCTTTGCCATGAACTCCGTGGTGAGACCTACCTTTGCCATGAACTCCAAGGTGAGACCCTACCTTTGCCATGAACTCCGTGGTGAGACCCTACCTTTGCCATGAACTCCGTGGTGAGACCCTACCTTTGCCATGAACCCCGTGGTGAGACCCTACCTTTGCCATGAACTCTGTGGTGAGACCCTACCTTTGCCATGAACTCCGTGGTGAGACCCTACCTTTGCCATGAACTCCGTGGTGAGACCTACCTTTGCCATGAACTCCAAGGTGAGACCCTACCTTTGCCATGAACTCTGTGATGATGAAAATTGGGTCCCCGAAACACACGCCGATCAGCTGCACCAGGTTGGGATGGGAAACCGCCCTGCCACGGGGGAAACAACAAACTTGTCATCAACAACAATAATCTAAGGATGCGTCACTAACCTTCATAAAGGCAGAACTTTAAATTTTGGGAACAAGCCCTGAGCACAGAGAACAAATCCGAGACATGACTAACTCACATGGTTTATTCACCTCTACCAATCATGATTTAGTGATAAAAACTCACGTCATGACGGAGGCCTCGGCCAGGAACTGCTGTGCAGCTTTACTGGTGTCCTTCAGCGACTTGATGGCAACAAGTCTGCCCCGTACACACCTGGATTACATCTGTAACATAGCAACATCATCAGCATCCTCATCATCATCATCATCATCATCATCATAGCAACAACATCAGCATCATCATCATCATCATCACTACACCAACAAGTCTGCCCCGGTACACACCCTGGATTACATCTGTAACATAGCAACATCATCCTCCTCATCATCATCATCATCATCATCATCATCATCATAGCAACAACATCAGCATCCTCATCCTCATCACTACAGCAACAAGTCTGCCCCGGTACACACCCTGGATTACATCTGTAACATAGCAACATCATCATCATCATCATCATCATCATCATCATCATAGCAACAACATCAGCATCATCATCATCATCACTACACCAACAAGTCTGCCCCGGTACACACCCTGGATTACATCTGTAACATAGCAACAACATCCTCATCCTCATCATCATCATCATCATCATCATCATCATCATAGCAACAACATCAGCATCACTACACCAACAAGTCTGCCCCGGTACACACCCTGGATTACATCTGAAAACAACATTATTGTACACTACTGGTCAGAAATAACACGATAGCAACAGTCTGGGAATTCCCCATTCCCCAAGCTAAGACAGAAGTTATGAGAAAAAGTAGGTGAGTAAGAGTAGTTAACTTAAACTTAACTCCCCAGAGCTAAGCTATGAGTAAGTGAGTGAATCAGTAACACAGAAGCTGTGAGTAAGAGTAAGTACGAAAGATTCCTACCTCCGAACTCTCCCTTCCCCAGAGCTAAGCTATGAGTGAATCAGTAACACTGACAGTAGAGTAAGAGTAGGTAATTAAGACAGAATCTTACCTCCGAACTCCCCCTTCCCCAGAGCTTAGAGCTATCAGTGAATCAGTAACACAGAAGCTGTGAGTAAGAGTAAGTATGAAAGATTCCTACCTCCGAACTCTCCCTTCCCCAGAGACTTGCCTAGCTCCACTTCATGCCTGTTGATGGCCCACCCAGCTGAAATGAGAACAGGAACAAATTAGCATTTATGATAATTGACTAAAGACTCAAATTATTAGTTTTATCATTACTCCACTCTCAAACTCAAACCTAACCACCCTACAGCTTGACTTGAACCATACTATTAATTATACATCATGCTTAAAGTTAATAAAACTGTAAAACCAACACAAAGAAGTTCTTTCACCGCGACGGGGGCCGACATTCTCTACCAGATACCTTTGACCCAGTGTTGACGTCACACTTCAAAGAAGCCACGTGACAAGCCTCACTGGGTCAGTCTACTGAGGAAGACCAGAGTGACTGGTCGAAAGCTCTAAGTCAGAGAACTTCTTTGTGCTGGATCAAAAGTTTTAACTTTAAACAGATATACAGCCAGGACTGCCCATTTAGCCAGAGGCTATCATAAAGGGCTAGCCCTCATTACTGGACAATGAACAGTTTAGCACAGATTGTACTGGATGGTTCGAGTATTCAGCTTCTTTGTAAACTTGTTGATACCTGCCAGGGGGGGGGGGACCAGGGTTAGCATGGATCCAACTTCTTTATGTTGGATCTCAAGTTTTAACTCTTGTAACTACCAACACAGATGAGCTTTCATTATGATTATACATCATCTGCAGGCTGTATCTACTGCCTGACTACAGAGACCCAGGTGTGGGGATGAAATCACAGAAAACTCACCGTCCTTAAAAGCCTGTGAGTCGACTGAGAAGCCCTGTCCTCCCTTCTTAGGCACGGGCTTCTTTAGTGTGGTGCACAGGCCGTCAGCATCCTTCTCATAATGCTGCATCAACAGGGAATAAATTTGGCATCAACTTTAGAGCAGAAGTTAAAACACAAGTCCAACATGCACTGTGCTTTTCCAGAATGCGTTACCACAGAGATGGTGCTCCTTTTTGTTTGTTTGTTTGTTTGACCCTCATTATGTATGAAAAAAAGTAGAAAATGATAAGAAACCATAATGATTACATCTACTCTTGGCATTAGCCATCACTACATATTGTAGTAAAAAATTCCCTGTGGACTTATAATATATATCCCCCATACATGTACATAGACTGGTGCAGGTAGACATCTGAAATACCTGCACAAAACACTTACCTGCATACGCACATGTTACTTGTAACCTTGTAAACACTGAGGATAAACTACTGCTAGATGGGATACACTATCAATACCTTCCTGTTTCTTATTGACTATTGTACATTACATTTCGCAAAGTATACATCACGGAAAGGAAACAAAAGTTAACAAACCTCGACCAGTTTTGTCAGGTTCTCAAAGTCTATTTCCTCGTCGATGGTGAGCCTGTTGTTCTTGAAGATCACCCTGTAGTGCTCCACCTTCAGGGGGAGAAATAATTTTTTTTCAGAGTTCTCTTAACTTTATATACTGCAGAATGTCAAATTTTGTTCTGCAGTTCTTATAAATACTTTCTACAAATGACCACTTAAAAGTGCGGATCTACATGTAAACCCATGGCATGTACAAAATTGCATGTTGGCAAATATTTTACATGCAATTTGAGAAATATGTGCAAAATCACTCGAGTTTGAATCCTGCCTGGTGTCAATGATCTTGTGCCCTTGGGAAAGGCATTTACTCACGCGAATTTCCTCGCTTTACTCAGGTGTAAATAAGTACCTAGCTACGGCTAGCTATAGGGACGTCCCTTGAATAGGAGGTCCCGTGTTTGGGAGAGTGACACTTCACGCACGTTAAAAAACCCGCCACACTTATCGAAAAGAGTAGGGGACCTTCCCGGTGTGAGTGGTTCAAACCTTAGTCTGGTCTCAGGTTTGACATCTTGAAGAGGTGATAGTCACCTGTTATGTCAATCCTTCCACAAATGTGGTAAATATCCATAAAATAAAAACAAGGGAAATCGTAGATTTCAAACCTCCGTTTTTTTTTGTGTTCTATTGGTTTAGGTTATTTGTTTGTGTGTAGTATGAAAGTTATGTGCGTAATATGTTTGTATGTGTTTGATGGCTACTGACGGTTGGTTCGGTATGGACTGTTGATTAACGTGTCTCACAGTCTGACAGCCTGCACCGTCACCCGCGCCATTACCCCCGCCGTCATCCCGCGCCGTCATTGCTGCGCTGTCACCCAAAATTTTTATCGGAACCAGACACCCCTCTGTTTGACCCCTTTTGAATGCTAAGACCCAAAACTGCAACCGCCCCATTCCTTAACAACATGGTAATTACCATTTTCAGCATGGCGGGGGTGTCCGGAGCACTTAAAAACCTTTTATTTCGACACCCATAAACACATATGCAATTAAACAAAAACGTTCTGCATCATCTGCAGCCCGATAGCAATACGTATACCGAACCACAGACAAATCTGTCCAGCCGATCGCGAGAAACAGCTGCTGACAGAAATGTTTCGAACCATAGTAAAACCTCCTCGCGGAAGGATATCTCCTTCCCCGGAGGTAATAAAAAAAAATAACACTGACCTTACTGCTGAAGCTGACACACAGTGTGTAGTCGCCGGGGTAGTTTGTACTTTCTCTCACCAGGAACATTCCATCATGTGGGGGGTTCAGTAAAGACTCGGCCTGCTCTCTGGTGATCTTACCATGGAACCAGCTACGGGAGAAAGGACAGAAAACCGTTAAGTTAACCCTAACCCTCCCTAACATGGAACATTCCATCGTGTGGGGGGTTCAGTAAAGACTCTGCCTGCTCTCTGGTGATCTTACCATGGAACCAGCTACGGGAGAAAGGACAGAATAATCTATAGTACACCATCAACAAATTATACCTAAACTTAACCCCTAACCCTAACTCTTTCACATGGAACATTCCCATGGACACCAGCTATAGGATAAAGGACAAAATAGTCAATTAAACACCATCAACAAATCATACTAGACCCAACCCCTCACTCTCTCTCACCAGGAACATTCCATCATGCAGAGGGGGGGGG